CTCAGTCCCCAAGTGACTATCAGGCCCTAGGTGAACACCGGGTCCCAGATGAACATCAGGCCCCTGGTGCACAACAGGACCCAAGTGAATACTTTGGCCGCTGAGGAACATCAGGCTCCAGGTGGACATCCAAGACCCATGTAGACAACCAGGTCCAGAGGTACATCAGGTTCCATATGGACACCCAGCCCCCAAGGGGATACCAAGTCCCCAGGTTTACATACCAGTCCTCAATAACTGAAAATTCACATATTCTCTGGCGAAATGCATGAAGTCATCTCCCTAATAGAAGGCTGCACACACACAAAAACAATGGTGAAACTCGTACATTTAATACAAGTGCAGTGCTGCACAACTAGTCTCAGAGCAAGACACACCACAGGCTTTGCATGGAGGATGCACAGATTAGAACAGAATAATGAAAATGTGGGACCTGAGACTGCAATATAAGAAAAGAGAAAAGGGCAAATGTGCACACCAAGAAATCCAAGAAGGAAAGGGTCATATGGAGAAATAACAGGCCTGGTTTCCCAAGAAACATTAGAAACCACACTGTGAAATGAAATGGCAGGCCGAATCAAGCTCTGTCTAGGTTTTCAATCACGGGTCTCTGTAAACACAGCTTTTAGGCTTAGAAATTGCTAAGGTCACCCTGAACATGTCCTATCCACCTTGCAGAAATTCACCACTGGGAAAAGACACAGAAACCCATGGAGGTCCAGAGCTTACTTTGAAAGTTTTTTGTAGGAGTTCCCATGGTCTCTAGGCACCACTGGCTGGCTCTGTGGCTTTCTTAGAGGGCCTGTGGCCTAAGCCCGGCCCCCGCTCTCGCAGCGTGTGTGGCCTCCGATGACCAGACTAGCCTGGATCCAGGCTCCTGGCACCCTTGAGGAGCTGCCCTGCGTGCTCACACGGGCTCCCAGCAGCTGGCACTCTTGTACTCAGGCACTGGCCCCTTCCCACGGGGTCTCGCAGGGCACAGCTCTGGGGCCCCAAGTCCAGTACCCACCTGAGATCTTCAGACCCTAGATAGAGCAGTAGGGGCAACTTACCCAGATGACTTACCCAGCCTCCGCCTAAGCCAAGATGGAGCCTTCCCCACTACCCACTATGTGTGCAGGACGGCCAGTTCCTGGATGACAAGGGGTGGGGCCAGAGCAACTCCCTACCAACTGTCTTTAAGAAGAGGGTGGGTGCATGGGGACACACCCCCTCCAGGTGGATGTAAAGCTCCAGGGAACACAAAGGGCCCAGGAAAACATCAGGCCCCAAGTGGACACTGGACATCAGACACCAGGTTGACACCATACCCCCAGGGAACACTAGGTCCCCAAGAGACTCTAGTCCCTGCATGGACATCAGGCTCCAGGTGACCACCCATGCCTTAGGTAAATACTGGGCCCCAGGGGGACCCAAGGCTCCAGGTACATACCAGGCCACAGGTGGAAACCAGGCCCCAGATAGATAGACATCAGGCATCTTGGTGTATGTCAGGCCCCAGGTTGACACATAGGCACCAGTGGAACACCAGGCCCCACTTGAACTTCAAGCTCCAAGTGGATGTCTGGGCTCCAGGTAAACATCAGGGCCAAGGTGAACAGGAGGCCCCAGGTGGACAACAGGCCCCAGGTAGATGCCTAGGCCCCTGGTGAACACAAGGCCCCTGATGAACATTAGGCCCCAGATAGACACCCTGACCCCAGGGGAACATCTGGTTCCAGAGGGACATCAGGCCCCAATAGATGGAGACATGTACACATCAGGCTCCAAGTGGATGCTAGTCCCCAGATGGACACAAGGTCCAAGGTACACACAGCCTTAAGATGTGCATCAAGCAACAGGCTCACATCCAAGCCAGAGTTGGACACAAAGTTGCAGGTGGACAGCTGTCCCACAGAGAATACCAAGGACTTAGGTGGACATCCAGGTGCAAGGAGAACATGAAGCCCTATGTAGACAGCAGGCACAGGATGGATATCAAGACTCCAGGTAAACACTCAGGCCCCAGGATATCAATCCTCATGGGACAGCATGCTGCATATGGACACCAGGCATCAAGTAAATGCCTTACCCCCTAGTGCATATCAGGCTCCACAGACCAGAGCTGGACATGTCCACTTGACTCCAAATGGACATCAAGCCCTGGCCCTGTGGCCTGAGGATCCACTTCCCTGAGGTGACACCATGGGCAGGTGGGCTGAAAAAGCAATTGGGAAGGCCAAATCAACTGCCCCAGCCAGCCAGGATGCCTCTTTGATGACACAGGACTAAGCCTCCCCTCTCTTACAGGGGAAACTAGGTGGCCCAGAGGCTATCCAGAAAAAGGGATCTGCCGCAGCAGCCACCCTCCTAGGAAGTTCCCTTTCTTCCCTTTGGTGAACTCCCTCCAACACACCTCTTCCTAGGAAAGCACCCTTTTGTCTTACATGGGAAGGGGGTCCCACCACACCAAAACCCAGCCCAAGAAGCCTTTTCTCCCTTCAGGGATAAGTTATTATCACAACAAAAAACAAAATACACAAATAGTCACCCCCTAAATTTTGTTAAGAATGAGACAATACTGCCATTCACACCTGGCTCAGGTGCCAGTAGGAAGAGGACACCCTCCAGAGACTGCAGAAGGGGGAGAACTCCTCCTTGCCATGGCTGTGCCTCCACTGCTGCCACCGAGGCCTGCAATGCAGAACCTACAGCTTCCTAAACACCCCAGACCAGGCTGGGTCCAAAGCACTCCTACTCCCCCTTCCCAGCTCCCAACTTGCTGCTGCTGCCACCATTAGTGCCCACCACAACACAACCAGCGCTGTTGTCACCCTCCATGCACCAACCCACCCTACAAGGCTCCTACCACCTGTCCTCCACAGGCACCCTTCTACAGCTCCGGTCAAGCTGCAGTCTCCATTGCCATCGTCAACACAACCACAGGAGGTGAGCCACAGAGCCATGCCATCTGCAGGCTCCAACCTCCAGCTCACCACAGATGACTCCTTCACCTGGAGCTGCTGGGTGGGCAAAGCCAGAGAAACCTAGAACAGGATGCAGAAAAGTAGTGTTAGAGCCTAACCTTGTCATGCTGGCCACTGCACGGCAGGGGCCAGTTTCAGTGAAGGCACTCACATTACCCTGCAAAGTCCAGCCTCTCCTCCTGGCCCAAGCTGGTCTCCTGGCCCGGGATGGGGACTTAAGACACCACAGTACCTGGTGCTCCTTGAGGAGCAGGAGCAGCAGAAACTCAGACCCAACCAGCCCTCCCACCCAAGTACTGGTTCCTGATACTAACACCTCCACCCACAGGGTCCTGTCCCCCATGGTGCCCACCACATGCCCAGGGGTTCCAGATAGTCATCACAACATGGAGCAATAGAGTGACAGCCAGGAAACTATGGTGGGTGTAGAGGCCCTGCCATGCTCAGAGGATTGCTGCAAAAAACTCTGTATGTCTGCTGTGCTTCAACAAGAGCAGGAGGAGTTCTCCCCCTAGAGCCTTGAGTCCCGTAAGAAAAGAAAGGGCAGTTCCTTGGAGGCCATCACTGTCACTGCCATCTCTGCAATCTGCCACCTGTGGCAGCAGTGCAGCCCCAATAGCACCCCTAACCTGGCCCTCGCCGCCAACAGTGTAGCCCCCAGATTGCACACCCAACTCACCCAGAGCCTGCCACAGGCAGTGTAATGCCCGTACTGCCCCCAAACCACCCCCTCCCCCAACAGTGTAGCACCCAATAGTGTCTACAACCTGTCCCTGCCACAGGCATTGCCGCACGCTATAGAGTCCCAAACTCACCCTGCCTCCCACACCTCCCTGCCTCCCCCTCGCCCTGGGCCCCAGATAGCACCTCAACGTCCCTCAACCTCCTCAGGTACCAGCAGAAGGACACCCTCCAGAGATTGCAGAAGGGGGAGACCTCCTCCTTGCCCTGGCTGCACCTCCACTGCTGCCACTAAGTCCTGCAGTACAGTGAAACCCGGGAACAGTGCACCCAACCAACCCCTCCATCCCACCTTCCTCCCCTCCACCACACAGGCAGTGCAGCACATGACAATGCACCTAAAACCGCCCCCCCACTGCCGGCACTGTAGTCCAGGGTAACTCACTCAACCCGCCACCTGCCTCAGGCAGTGTAGCAGCTGATAGCGCCCCTAACACCCCCAACCCCCTCCCGGTGCCGCCAGCAGCGCATGCACACAGCCTACCTCCAACCCCACCCCCCACCTTGGGCAGTGTAGGCCCAGACGGGGCTCACCAGCCATGCAACACCAGATAGCTGCCCCCCACAGCAGGCATCGCAACCCTGGGCAATGCAGCCCCGATAGTGTACCAAATCCATTCCCGCCGGGAGCACACCTACCCAGCAACCCTTCTACTACTCTAGGAGAACTGCAGTCTCCCTAGCCAACTGCAGCCAGGCAAGCCGCCGTGAGGCAAGCTCCAGCCTGCAGTATGTGGCCCGTGGCCCCCCTTTCTCTTTATTCTCTAAGCAGTCAGGAGCAGTTCCCGCTGCCGGCTGCCTTCCTACCACTCCAGCGACCCTCCTACTGCCCCTCCTATCACTCATCCTCCCACTCCGCCTGCCATTCTACTCTCTGTCCCACCCTCCTACCGCTCCAACCTGCCCTCCTACCGCTCAAGCTGCGCTGCAGTCTCTGTCGCCACCACCCACTGCAGCGAGACCAGCCGCATTACCGCAGGCTGCAGCCTCCAGCGTGCAGCAGGTGGCTCCACTGCCGCTTCTGGTGCTCTAAGCCGGGAACACAGTAGCTCCACAAGAAGACACGAGAGCCTGGAATGACATGAGGCTTCCTCAGCATGCTTTATATATTGAGGTTGTGCATATGGATCATGGACTACATGTTCTGATTGGATGAGAGAAAACCTCTAGGCCTACTCTGATTGGACTTTATTTTCATGCTCCGATTGGTTGTCCTAAGACTTGCTCTCATCCAATCAGAACATGCAGTCCAGGAACCTCTGTGCATAACCTCAGTATATAAATAGTGCTGAAGGAACTTCCGTCAGTCTGTTCCAGACTTCAGGAGACATGTTATCCAGCTACCTTATGCTGGAGGCTGGAGCCTGCGGCTCGCCAGTTGCTGCTGTTGGTGGTAACCATGGAGTCGTAGGCTGGAGAGGTAGGAGGGGGAAAATCGTTTTGGGTTAGATTGAGGGCTACAGAGTGTGATTACTGCCAAAAGGAAAAAGAGGATGGTGAACAGGATAAGGCGTGGCAAAAAGACGGCGAGGAAAAGATGGCAGGAAAACTATTTTGAGGTAGATGGGGGTGGGGGGGAAGCAAGGTGGTGAGCCGAAGGGAGAGAAGCTTCTTTGGAAAGAAGGTGGGGAAACGTTTTGGGGTAAATGGAAGGGGGAAAAGAGTGGCACGTGGGAGTGGGAAAGAGAGGTGGTTGGGGAGAACGGAGGCGAGCAGGAAGGAGAGGTCTGAAAAAAACACAGTTGGGAGAAAAAAAAGACAGGGAAGGAAGATGGTGGGTAAAAAGATTTTGAGCAGATGCCGAAGGGAAGAGGGTGGCAAGTGGGAGAAGAAAAGAGGGAGGGGGAAGAGAGAGTGGGCAAGCAGGAGGGAAAGAAGGTTTTGAGAAAAGAAGGGGAGAAAAGTTTTTAGGTAGGTGGAGGGGGAAAAGAAGGTGGCGAGCAGAAGGATAAAGAGGATGGCGAGTGGGAAGGAGAAAAAGTTTTGCAAAAAGACTATGGGCAGGAAAGAGTGCATAAAGAAAAGATAGTGGATAAAATGTTTGGGTAGATGGAGGAGGAAGAGGGTGGCAAGTGGGAAGAGAAAAGCAGGGATGGCCAGAGGGAGTGGGGAAAGAAGGTTGGGAAAAAGGTGATGGGGAAAATAGTTTGAGGTAGATAGAGGGCAAAAATGGTGGCAAGCAGAATAGGGGAAAGAAGATGGTGAGCAGGAAGCGGGGAAGGTTTTGCGAAAAGATGGAGGGGAAATATTTGGGGTAGATGGAGAAAGGAAAGAGGGTGGCAAGGAGGGAGGGGAAGAAAGACAATGGGGAAAACAGTTTTGGGGTAGATGAAGGGGGAAAGAGGGTGCTGAGCAGCAGGAGTGGGGAGAAGCCTTTGGGAAAAGATGGGGGGAAATGTCTTGGGATGGTGAAGCAAAAGAGGGTGATGAAAGTAGGAGGCGGAAAGATGGTAGTAAGGAAAGGAGGAAAGAATAGTGGGGAAAACGGTGGAGAAAAGATTTTGAGTAGATGGGTGGGGAAAATGGTCGTGAGAGTAGAGAAGGCTTTGTGAAACGACTGGGGGAAAAAGTGGGGGAAAAGTTTTGGGGTAGACGGAGGAAGATAAAGGGTGGCGAGAGGGAGAGGATACAAAGGCGGTTGGGAAAAGAAGATGGGGAAATAATGCTGGGGGACAAAGGGTTTGGGTAAATCTTTTTCTGATTTTTAAATCAGATTATTTTTGCTTTTCAGTAGTTTGAGTTCGTTATTGTTTTGTGTGTTAACCCCTTGCCTGATGCATAGTTTGCAAATACTTCCATATTCTGGATTGTTTCTTCATTCTACTGAAGTAGAATGTTAACGGATGTGTTTGGCGGGAGTTGGTCATTAGAATTCTTACAGTTGAAATGCGATGATGATTTTTCACATCATTAGTCATGATTACAGTCCATATAGGAATAACGACATATGCTTTATTTCCATTAGGTATCATTTTAGTAATAGGGTTTGTAGGGTTTTCTTCTAAACCCTCACCTATTTATGGGGGTTTAGGGTTAATTGTTAGTGGTGCTGTGGGTTGTGTTATGTTGAATTTTGGTGAGGCTTTTGTAGGGCTGATAGTCTTTTCAATTTATTTGGGTGGTATGATGGTTGTTTTTGGCTATACTGCGGTGATAGCTGTTGACGAATATCCTGAAACATGGAGATCAAGTGCTGATATTTGGGGATCTCTACTGTTAGGATTAATAATAGAGACAATGATAGTTTGGTAGGTGAACGTGATGAGGTGTTAGTTACTGTGAATTATAATACTGTGGTGAGTTGAATGATTTATGAAGGTGATGGGCTGGGGTTAATCCATGAATGTCCTATTGGTGCAGCTGCTTTGTGTAATTATGGGGTTTGGGTTGTGTTGGTTACTTGTTGGTCATGATAAGTATGCACATTACAATTGAACTTACTCAGGGTGGGGATTAAACAAGTAGTAGTAGGGTGAGGGTGGATGGAACGAAGAAAGAAAGAAAATAGAGTTTAATTAAGCCTTTTTGAGTTGATGTAGTGGTGGAAATTGAAATTTGGGTTTGTGAGGTTATTTTTAGTATAGATTTTTCTAATCAGAGTAGGTCTAGTAAAAATGAAGCTAGATTTTGGCTTGTGCCTAGGCTTGAATAGGGGTTTGAGCCATGAATTGTGGTTGAATAAAAGCCTAGTATATTAGAGAAATTAAATATTTTGACTGGGGTACTTAGTTTAAGGTTATTAGTCATGAGGTTAAGTTCTATTGCTAGAAGTATTCTTAAGGTGGTTACACTTGGGGCTGTGAGTTTGAGGTAGAGTGGTATGGTTATTTGAGGAGGTGAAGTGGGAGAGAATCAGAAATGAATCCAATGAAAATACTGCTGATTGCTAGGTGATTAAGTGGGTTTATTAGGGATAGGTCACTTGCGTTAATGGTAAGAAGGGTTATAAAGTGGGGCTAATCTGCTAGAGCAAAGAAGATAATGCAGATGCTATGTATAGCTGTTAGGGAAGTGGCTATGAGAGTAATAAAAAGGGCTGAGGCGTTGGTATGTGACATGTTAGCGGTTTTGGTAATGAGGTCTTTAGAGTTAGAAGCCTGTGAGGAAAGGCACACATGTAACTGGGAGACTGCCAATAATGAGGGAGGAGGAAGTAAAAGGTAAGATTTTGAAGAGACCTCCTGTTTTTTGAATATGTTCTTCATTGTTGAGGCTATGAATAATGGATCTTGCAGATATAAATAATGTAGCTTTAAAAAGGCATGGGTGCAGATGTGAAGGAATGCTAGATGTGGTTGGTTAATGCCAATTGTAACTATTATATGGTCTAGTTGGCTTGAGGTTGAAAAGGCCATGATTTTTTTGATATCATTTTGTGTTATGACACAGATTGCTGTGAATAAGGTGGTGATGGCTCCTAGGCATGAACATTCTAATGCAACAAACAGGCTCCTTCCTCTGTCCTAGGAGTGACTCTTGCTGTCCCCAGGCTCCCATTGTGTTCTCTTTGAGCCACTCATCTTCCAGACCCGCTGCAGCTGTGTCTTGAGTGTGGGGTGAGGGCACAGGTTTCTTCTAGCACCATCCCTCCAGCTCACCTGCCTTCCCACTTTCCCCTTGGGGCTGCTCTCTCTTTCCCTCAGTGTCAGGCAGGTGTACCCAGCCATTGGAAGAAGGGAAGGAACAGGAGCAGAAGTAGCTCCGGGAATGTGATTCCTGCTCTGTTCTGGCTGGCTGATGCCAGTCAGGTCACTTGATCTTTGGAGTCTTTGTTTTCACTGTGAACTAAGGGTTTTAGATTCAGATTCCTGAAGATTTTATTTAAGGTGAGGACAAAGACTCCCCGAATGCTCCTGGAAGTGTGTGAGCTGAGTGAGTTAACAGCCTTGGCCACCATTTCTTGCCATGTGCCAGGAAATCCCAGCTGCATCTGGCCCTTCTCCCACCCACATGTCCTGTTCCTCACCTCCTTCCAGTCCTCTGCATCACCCATCCCTTGCTTTCCCCACTCACCGTCTTGGGTCTCCTGGGAGACAGCAGGACCCAGAAAGAGTGACAGAGACAGCAGAACAGGCACCATTCTGGGCAGGAGGCACAGGTATTATCCTGGATCCTGGGGCCCTGCCCAGGGGAGGTGAATTTATAGGCCAATGAGAGTGCCAGGACAGGCTCCTCCCCTGACAGTGAGAAAGATGTATGCACAAGCCAAGCTGGGCAGAGGTTGTGATCAGTGAGTCCACAGACAGGATATACAAATTCAGATCTGAGACAGTTGATCTCTGGACTGAGGCTTTGCATGTGCCTGGGACAGAAGGATGCCAGTGGGTAGGAGGTATGTGTGATGGGTGACAGATGCCTCAGATGTGTTGCCTTTCCAGTCTATTATGACAGCCTCTGGGGTCAGCATGGGGACTTGGGTGTTGCCAGACCACACTTCATCCCTGCCTTCTGGAAAAACCTTCAACATGTCCAGGTTGTGGACCTTGGTAGACCCCAGCTGGGGTGGGGCCCTCACTCTCCCAGACCCAATCCTGCCAGAGCTGTCTAGAAGACATTCACACTCACATCTCTCCTTCCTTCCTTTCTGTGCCTGTGAAATCCCAGCCTTCCATTATGGAAGCAGAAATAGCTGCATGATCCTTTTGCAGCCTCCCTTGCAATAGAATGAGGTGTACACGGGGTTTATGCTCAGCAAGCCAAAGCTACTGCCTTGGACATTGGGTCAAGTGTCTGGGTAACAAAGAGGCAGGCACAGTGGACAATGCTTTCTGGTTATCTTGGCAGGGGCTGCAACTGCCAGCTCCTGGGGGCAGTGGGGCTGCAGTAGCTGTGGGGGCTTCTGAGTTCGAGTCTCTGGGGCTGTTGCTGATCTGTGCTATGGCCTCTGCTGCCCCCTGTTGGTAGCTCCTGTGTGTTTACTGGTCCGGTTGCTGGTTTGATTTTGACTCTTCCACTTTTGTGGAATTCTGAGCCTGGGTTCTCCATCCTTTCTGTGGATTCTGAGAGCTAACCAATAAATACGTTTATTTTCTGCTTAAGATCAGAATTGCATTACGTTTCTAATAACGAATGCTCCTTGTGGATACAGAGATTGGCACAAGGATTGTTTCCAGGTAATAGTTGCTCAGGGAAATGAAGGGCTGGGAAGCTGACGTTGGTTATGGGGCCAGACTGGGGCTGAATGCAATGAAAACACAGGGGTCTTGGGGAATTCTGGCAGGCCTGGTGTGTAGTGATAACTTAAGCAGTTGGCTGAAGTATCTGTTGTGGTAGATTGGAATGAAGTGCTCATGAAGGTGTTGACTGAGAAAAGGTTACAAAATGGGTTAACTTAATTTAAAAAGAGAGTTTGGGTCAGGCTCAGTGGCTCACATCTGTAATCAAAGGTGGGAGGATCTCTTGAGGCCAGGAATTCTAGACAAGCCTGGGTATCACAGCAAGACCCCACCCCCACAAAAAGTTAGCCAGTCATAGTGACATGTGCCTGTAGTTGCAGTTACGGAGGAGGCTGAGGCAGGAGAATCACTGGAACCCAGCTGTGATGGCACCACTGCATTGCAGCAGGGGTGACAGATTGGGACTCTGTCATTTTTTTTTTTTTTTTTTTGAGGGAGTCTTGCTCTGTCATTCAGGATGGAGTGCAATGGCACCATCTTGGCTCACTGCAACCTCTGTCTCCCGGGTGCAAGTGATTCTACTGCCTGAGCCTCCAGAGTAGCTGGGATCACAGGTGCCCGTCATCATGTCTGGCTAATTTTTGTATTTTTAGTAGAGATGGGGTTTCGCCATGTTGGCCAGACTGGTCTCAAACTCCTGACTTCATAATCTGCCCATCTCAGCCTCCCAAAGTGCCAGGATTACACTTGTGAGGCACCTTTCCTGGCCAGAATACCTAGTGATTATTTCATTCCATAATTAGAGAAACATCTGTAAAATTAGAAACTAAAACTCTGCTATGTGTGACTATTCTCACCAGTATACCTGTGTGGACTTTCACTTTGCCCTTTGCTTCATTCTGATTCTTCCCTGAATTCTTTGTCCAGATGGTGTCAAGAACCTGGAAACTGTCTGAGGCTGAGGTCTCACTGGCATCCGGAGACCCTCCTGAGCTCTCCAGGAATGCAGTGCCATGCAGTGAGTGAAACATGGTCATGAGTGTGTCCTTTCCCTCACAGCCTGTGTTCTCTGACTGTCCCATTCCTCTAGGTCAGCTATTCTCCATCTTGCTGTGCCATCTGCTCATTTGCAGTTTTTCTATAGATAATTTTTAATGCCTACAGTGAGACTAGTCATACACAGAGGAAGCCAGTTATTTGGAAACCAGGCCTTTCCAGGCACTCTCATGGTGATGGTCTATTTGCAGAGAGAACCTCCGAAGACAAAGCAACATACTATTCTAAAGTGACTGGGGGCCAGGCATGGTGACTCAAGCCTGTAATCCCAGCACTTCGGGAGGCCAAAATGGTTGGAACACTTGAGGTCATGAGTTCCAGACCAGCCTGGGAAACGTGGTAAAACCTCATGTCTACCAAAAAAATTAAAAAGTAGCTGGTCATGGTGGCATTTGCCTGGAATCCCTGCTGCTCAGGAAGCTGAGGCAGGAGAATCACTTGAACCTGGAAGGTAGAGGTTTTAGTGAGCCAAGATCTCACACTGCACTCCAGCCTAGGCAACAGAGTGAGATTCCATCATAATAAAGTAAAAGTGACTGGGAAATTATTAAAGAAGGAGTTAATCTGTGGCAATTAGACTCTTGGTTGGAGTTTCCTCCAGTTGCAGTTGAAGTTGGTCTTGGCTGTAAGAGAACCTGTGGGTGGTCCTCTGTTGGGAAAACAGAAAGTGATGATGGAAGGACCCACCCATGGTTCCCTGGACCCCTTTCTCATCCCTGGCGTGCCCAGCTGATGCCTTGGCACAGCTTCACTCCAAGGTCACCCCCCTTGTTAGGCCTTTGTGACTGCCCCCTCTGAGCTGTCCCACACTCAGCTGCTTAGGAACAGTTTTTTGACTTCTTCTTGACAAATTGCATTAGGCCTTCCGATTGCCTCTGAAATCTGACTCCTTGCAGGAAGTTTTCTCCTGGCCTGGACTGGGTTTCCTCTACCTTGCTCACCTTCATTCCTCTCCCCTGTCACAGATGAAGCCAGGTCTCATATGCAAGTTTTGTTAGCCTTTCCTGGCTCATATGGATTTTGATTTCCACATTGATCTGGAAGGTTTATATTTTGTCTTTTATTTGTCCAAGTTGTCATCATATTTCAAAATATCAAATCTATATTTTTTCTCTTGACCGTTTGTTTTATCCCCTGGGGCCCTTTATATTTAGATAGAGCTTTTTACCCCAGAAGTAGGGAATGTGAATTTCACATAGATTAAAGGAGTCATTTTTTGAGTTTAATTTTTAAATGGAAGCCAAAACATCAGAAAAAAAAAAAGAGAAAAGTAAGACCAGGCATGGTGGCTCACGCCTATAATCCTAGCCCTTTGGGAGGCCAAGGCCGGTGGATCATTTCAGGTCAGGAGTTTGAGACCAGCCTGACCAACATGGTAAAACCTCGTCTCTACTAAAATACAAAACATTAGTTGGGTGTGGTGGTGGGCGCCTGTAATCTCAGCTCCTTGGGAGGCTGAGGCAGGAGAATTACTTAAACCCAGGAGGTGGAGTTTGCAGTAAGCTGACATCACACCACTTCACTCCAGCTTGGGTGACAGAGTGAGACTCCCTCTCAAAAAAAAGGAAAGGAAAGAAGAAAGATACAGCCTTCAAAATTGGGCTTTCAAGAAAGATGAGATGGTTGGCTCAGAATTTTGAAGACTGAAAATGATTTTCTTCAGGATTCTGGCTTGAAAGATGGATTTTGGAGTAATATAAATGAATGGCTGCGCTTTGGATGTACAGGAAGTTCTTATCTCATAGGAAGAAAATGCAGGGCCATAGGCAAGTGATGCTTCATGAGAAGGTCAAGGTAAGAGCTCTACTATGTCTTTTGGGGCTGAAACCTGTGCGTGGCAGTTGATGACTCAGTTGAGGAAAATCATTCCCAGAGTTCTGGCACCTCACAGCCAGAGGGACCATGAGCACACCTGTGTACATCAGCAGGGAATGCCTGAACAACTCCAAGGGACAGGGGTCCAGTCTATGCTTGTGATTGCCCAGGTCAGAGTGTCCAGGAACCACGGCCTCAGAAGAAACCAAGAGTTTCAGATGAATCCAGTGCTTGGGAGGAGAACCAATGAGAAAATCAATGATCATTTTTAAAGCATTCAACAGTTAAAAATACCATTCTCTGTTGTGCTAGGAAAGAAGTTTACGGTTTGATAGCCTCTACAGTTTAGACGTAGAAAAGTTTTTGAGGAGAGGCAATTTTGGGGTGCAAGTCAGCTCAGGGTAGGCATTCCTGTCATCTGTCTCCAAATCCACCACTGTCTGTCTTTGCACACTGCTCCCCCAGCCTTGCTGATGCCATTGAGGGTAATTTCTTTCTTTCTTGTTTAGAGATAGGGTCTCGATCTGTTGCCTAGGCTGGAGCACAGTGTTGTAATGCAACTCATCACAGCCCTGACCTCCTGGGCTCAAGCCATCCTCCTGTCCCAGCTTCTTGGGACTACAGGTGTGCATTACAAAGCCTGGTTAATTTTTAAGTTTTTTTTGTAGAGACCAGGTCTTCTTTTGTCACCCAGGCTGGTCTTAAACTCCTGGCCTTAAGCCATCCTCCTGCCTTGGCCTCCCAAAGAACTGGGATTACAGATAAGGGTGATTTCTGAGGTTCATCTGTCTCATGTCAGGCAGAAAGAATGGCTTCTGGGGCTGAGACCCCAATCTGCCTCCAGCCCTTGTGTCACTAGTGAGGTTGGGAACCCCGACTCAGAATATGCAGAAGCAGACCAGTCAAAATCACACTGGGATCCAGCCCTGAAAACACAGGACAGCTGCCAACAGGGGACACCATAGACCCAGTATGGACTGAAGACACCACCAGGGACTGGAATTCAGTTGCCCCCACAGCTTCTGCAGCCCTGCTGCCCCCAGGAGCTGGCAGTTGCAACCACTGCCAAGACCACCAGAAAGCATTATCCCCAGTGCCCGCCTCTTTTTTCCCTGACACTTGACCCGATGTCCAGGGCAGTAGCTTTGGCTTGTTGAGGATAAACCCCATGTGCAATTGCTCATTGTATTGCAACGGAGGCTGCAAAAGGGGGGTGTGGCTATTTCTGCTTCCATCTTGGAAGACTGAAATTCTGCAGGCACAGAAAGAAAAGAGGGAGAGATGTGAATTTGAATATCGAGACAGATCTGGCAGGATCGGGTGTGGAAGAGTGAGGGTCCCAACCCAGCTGGGGACTACCCAGGTCCATGTTTTGGACATATTGAGGGTTTTTCCAGAAGGCTAGGATGAAGTGCAGTCTGACAACACACAAATGCCCCTACTGGTCCAGAGATTGTTGTAATAGACCGGAAGGGCGATTCATCCCAGGCATCTGTCACCCATCACACACACCTCCCACCCACTGGCATTCTTCTGCCCCAGGGACACACAAAGCCTGAGTCCAGAGTTCAACTGTCTCAGCTCTGAATTTGTATATTCTGTGTATAGACGCACTCATCACAACCTCTGCCCAGGCTGGCTTGTGTATCTTTTTTTTTTTTGTCAGGAGAGAAGCCCATCCTGGCACTCCTATTGGCCTGTAGAACCACCTTGCTTGGGAAAGGGCCCAGGACCCAAGATAATACCTGTGTCTCCTGCCCAGAACCCTCCAAACAGGCCCAATGGTAAGAATGGTGCCTGTCCTCTTGCCTCTGCCACTCCTTCTAGTTCCTGCTATTTCTGGGTCCCCCAGGAGACCCAAGATGGTGAGTGGGGAAAGCAAGGGATGGGTGATACAGGACTGGAAGGAGGTGAAGAACAGGACTTGTGGCTGGGAGAAGGGCCAGATGCAGCTGGGATTTCCTGGCACATGGCAAGAAATGCTGCACAAGACTGTTAACTCACTCAGTTCACACACTTCCAGGAGCATCTGGGGAGTCTCTGCCCTCACCCTAAATAAATTATTCAGGAATCTGAATCTAAAACCCTGAGTTCACAGTGAAAACAAAGACTCCAAAGACCACGTGACCTGACTGGGGTCAGCAAGCCAGGACGGAGCGGGAATCACATTCCTGGAGCTACTTCTGCTCCTGTTCCTTCCCTTCTTCCAATGGCTAGGTACACCTGCCTGACACTGAGGGAAAGAGAGAGCAGCCCCAAGGGGAAAGTGGGAAGGCAGGTGAGCTGGAGGGATGGTGCTAGAAGAAACCTGTGCCCCTCACCCCACACTCAGACACAGCTGCAGTGGGTCTGGAAGGTAAGTCGCCTGAAGAGAAGACAGTGGGAGCTTGGGGGTATCAAGAGTCTAGGACAGGGGAAGGAGGCTGATTGTTGCATGAGAATCTTCAGGATGAGTACATTGAAGCTATGGCTTCTCCACTGTATGAGTTTAAAATTCATGACATTTACCAATTGTCAGAAAAGGTGTTACATGTTCCTTGTATAACAATCACTTTGGAATATTAATCTCATTCTGCACCAAAATCTGAATTATTTGGGGTTCTTCAGAGAAACCGAGCTAATAGGTAGTACACATATACATGTATATATGTGCATACACATACCTACATACACTGTATACACATGCACACACACACACATAGAGAAAGATTTATATACGTGTGTACAAAAGACAGAGAGAAAGTGGAGGTTTATTTTAAGGAATTGACTCACACTATTAGGAGGAGTAGCAAGTCCTGAATCTTCAGAGCATGCCAGCAGCCTGGATGCCCAGAGAAGATTGGATGTCGTAGTCTTGAGTCTGAGGGAAGACTGTAGAAGGAATTCTTTTTCTTTAGGGAAACCCTGAGGCTTTTTCTCTTAAGGGCTTCAACTGATTCAATGAGGGCCACCACTGTGGAGAATAATTTCCTTTACTCAAGGTCTACTAATTTGTTTGTTTAAAACAAATTGTGGGTGCATATGTGTATATATAGATATCTATATATATACATGCTTGTATATATTTATGGGGCACATGAGATGTTTTGATTCAGGCATGCAATGTGAACTAATCACATCATCAAGAATGAGGTATCCATCCCCTCAAGTATTTATCCTTTGTGTAACAGACAATCCAGTTATACTCTTTGGGTTATTTTGAAGTATACAATTAAATTACAATTATTATTATTACTTTTCTTAGATAGAGTCTTGGTCTGTTACCCAGGCTGGAGTACAGTGGTGTGATCTTGGCTCATTGCAACCTCCACCTGTCTGGTTCTAGCAATTTTCTTGCCTCAGCCTTTGGAGTAGCTGGGATCACAGCTATGCACTCCCATACCTGGCTAACTTATGTGTTTTTGGTAGAGATGGTGTTTCACCATGTTGGCCAGACTAGTCTTGAACTCCTGACCTCAAGTGATCCACCCACGTTAGCCTCCTAGAGTGCTGAAATTATGGGCATGAGCCATAGCACCTGGCCTCAATGAAATTATTACTGACTATAGTCACTCTGTTGTGCTATCAAAGAGTAGGTCTTATTCATTCTTTTTCTTTTTTCTTTTCTTTTCTTTGAGACAGAGTTGCCCAAGCTGGAGTACAGTGTTGCAATCCTGGCTCATTACAACCTCCACCTCCTGGGTTCAAGTGATTCTCCTGCCTCAGTCTTCTGAGTTGCTGGAACTACAGGTGTATGCCACCACACCCAGCTAATTTATGTATTTTTTGTAGAGATGGATTTTCACCATGTTGGCCAGACTTGTTTTGAACTTGTGACCTCAAGTGATCCACCTGCCTCAGACCCCAGAGTGCTGGGATTACAGGCTGCACCTGGCCCCAATTAAATTACTATTGACCATAGTCACCTTGTTGTGGTATCAAGTAGTAGGTCTTAATCATTCTTTCTATATTTCTGTACCCATTAACCATCCTCCCAATTTCCCCCCATCCCTGCCAATACCCTTCCCAGCCTTTGGTAACCATCCTTATACTCTCTATGTCCATGAATTCAATTGTAAGGTCTACTGATTTAAAGGCTAATCACATTTAGAAACTCATGAGCAAGAATAATTTTAGTAATTCAACTAGGAATCTGCCATATGACCTCCAACATTATTAACATCTGTGTAAATTGTATCAAAATAATAATGAAACTATTATGGAAATGTCCCCCTCTCCCAGCTCCCACCTTGTATCAAAATGCAAGGTACAATCCTAGGAATTCTGAGTTCCATCCTAGTCTTCACTTGTACTAATCCAGTCTGGGTCATTTCTTGCATTTTCTGGTAAATTCTCCTTACTACCCTTTTTAACTGTATGTATTTGTCAGGTTAAACTAGAAATGTAAATTTGGTTTTGTTGTTGTTGTTGTTTTTTTGTTGTTGTTGAGATGGAGTTTCACTCTATCCTCCAGGATAGAGTTTAGTGGCATGACCTTGGCTTGCTGAAACCTCTGCATCTCTGTTCAAGTGATTCTCCTGCCTCAGCTTCCTATGTAACTGGGATTACAGGCCTGCACAACCATGCCCAAATAATTTTGTATTTTTAGTAGAAATGGGGTTTTACCATGTTGGCCAGGCTGGTCTCCAACTCTTTATCTCAAGGGATCCTCCTGCCTTGGCCTCCCAAAGTGCTGGGATTACAGGTATGAGGCACCAAGCCCTCATGTTCATTTCTTTCGCATGTCAGATTCCATGTACATTGGGCGAGGTTCCTTTCCTCCATAGGGTGACTCAGAGATCCAGGCTAATGGCATATTGGGGGGTTTTTATATTTTTCTGTAGCCTTCGAAGTTGTCATCTCAAGGGATGAGAAAAAGAGGGGGCAAACCAGCTGGCAGGGTCTTGGAAAAGGAGAAAGACATCACTTCTGCTCACATTCTCTTTTGACAAAACTCAGTCACATGGTCCCAAGGTATCTTCGAGGAGATGAGCAATACTGTCTTCTTATGTGCCAAGCAGAGAAAACAATGTAGTTGAAGACACAAGATGATCTCTGAGATATCATCCATAGCATGAAAGTAGAGCATATTCACTTGAGTAAGCTCCCAGTGGTGAGAGGTTGATGGCAGGACAAAGAGCTGGGGAGGAAGAGGCCAGTGGGCAGGTCTTCCCTCCTGGCTCTCTGCAGCCCCACAGTAGGACCCTTGCATGGAACTCAACCACCAGAGTCTTTTCTTTTGCAGGTCGTTACTCTCTGACCTTTGTCTACACTGGGCTGTCCAAGCCTGTTGAAGAAATTCCCGAGTTTCAGGCCTTTGGCTTCCTCAATGACCTTTCCTTCTTTGACTACAACAGTGAAGACAGGAAGTCACAGCCCCTGGGACCCTGGAGACAGGTAGAAGGAATGGAGCATTGAGAGCAGGACAGCCAACTTCAGAAGGCTGGAGAGGACACCTTCATGGAGACCCTGAACAACATCATGGAGTATTACAATGACGGTAATGATCAGTGAACAACAGACTGCAGGGTGGAAGGTCTAACCCAAGAGGCAGTCCCCCAAGTATGAGTGGCAAGAGGTCAGAAGGATGGAAATAGTCCCAATCCCAGAGAAGGAATAGGAGGCACAGCAAAAATGCAGACATTTCTGCATCCCTTTCACCTCACAGCAGATGTGGTCACTCCTTCCCCATTGATTGTCCCATCCTCATCCCAGGCCTCAGCTTACACAGAAAGTAATGGCAGAGTCACTTCTTATTCAGGCACCTCTGACCTCTCCCCTTCACACCCCCAGCCATCAAAGAGTGATCCTCCGTGAGAAGGCATCAGACTCATCCTTGTCCAGGGAGGTCACCTGGAGAGTAAGTCATTCTCAAAGTCACTCAGACCTGAGCTTACATGATGGCTCTGCAGTCCTCTTAGCTGTTGACAGTGAAAGTTTCCCAAAATACATGGTCGAAATCTGCAAACATTGGAGCATTGAGACCTATCCCCAAACAATTTTGTCATATTTAACTATGTCTATTCCATGAAGAATGTCAGTCTGTCCTGATCTCCTTTGCAGCTCCATTGTCTAGGACAGGGTGCAGCCAACATTTGGGCAATTGAAATTTGTGGAATGAACAGAGAAAAGCACCCAGCACACACCATAGCCCATGCTCAGGGCTCAGAAAGTCCTGGATTCAATACCACAAGATTTTAGAATTCTCTGAAGCCTAAAGTTCCTTCTCTCCACAAGATGCAGAATGGGGAAGGGTCACCTGCACTGTGGTTGGAGGAGCTGGTAGCAACGCCCATGCAGAGATGGTGTCTATGCCCCCAGCCCAGCACTCTTTCTCCTAACCCACACTACCAGCCCCAAGGCAGCCAACCTCAGGCCTGGTGAACTGCTAATGTTAGATTATGATAGAATGGCTGTCAGAAGATGGGATTCTAAGTGCAAAAATGCCCAAGATGCTATATGGGATTTGAAGGTTTCCAAAAGGAGCAAGAAAGAGATAGGCAGACATTTGAATGGTGTGGGATGGGAGATCTTGGTAAGGAAAATGGCCCACGCTGTGTGGCAGCAATAGGAGAGGATGGGGAGCAGGTTATCAAGAAAGATGCTGAGAGAAGCTTTAATGAACAGAAATAGAAATGACAAAGTGGATAATTATGAGGAAGGAGGATGAAGAGGTGAATGCAGGGTATTAGAAAATAATAGTAGGCAGGGCATGGTGACTCACTCCTGTAATCCCAGCACTTTGGGAGGCTGAGGGGGACAGATCACCAGAGGTCAGGAGTTCGAGACCAGTCTCTACTAATAATATACAAATAGCCTGGCATTGTAGCACATATCTGTGGTCCCAGCTACTCAGGAGGCTGAGGCAGGAAAATCACTTGAACCCAGGAGGCAGAGGTTGCAGTGAGCCAAGATCCTGCTATTGTACTCCAGCCTGGGTGACAAGCGAAACTTTGTCTAATAATAATAATAATAATAATAATAGTAGCTGACACTTACTGAGCACTTACTTTGTGTCAGGCCCATCTATGAGCATATTTAATGCCCAGAATAACCCCCTAAAACAGTGCTCTTAGCATTGCCATTTCAGAGGTGAGGAAATAGAGGCACAGAGAGGTGAATGGCTCCAGTTCAGGCAGCATGCCGGGTGGGGGCGGGTGAGAGACCTGGGACTTGAGCCCAGACAGCTTAAGAGCTGTGAGAGTCTGTGCAAACAGCACCAACCAGTACTGGCTAAACACCTGCTTTTATTTTTATTTTTTTAAATACAGTCTAGCTCTGTCACCCAGGCTGGAGTGCAGTGGCTTAATCTTCGCTCATTGCAACCTCTACCTCCTGGGTTCAAATGATTCTCCTGCCTCAGCCTCCTGAGTAGCTGAGACTACAGACATGTCCCACCACGCCTGGCTAATTTTTTTGTATTTTTAGTAGAGACAGGTTTACACCATATTGGCCAGGCTGGTCTCAAACTCCTGACCTTGTGATCCACTTGCCCTGGCCTCACAAAGTGCTGGAATTACAGGTATGGGCCACCGCACCCAGTTAGCACCTGCTTTTATAATTAGAATGCAGAGGCTGTGTTCCTATGCCCTCAGGAGATCAATTTCTGAGAGTTGTGGCTAATGGGCAAGAAGGTAGGGACTTTAGAGATTTGAGATAACAATATCAAACACCAGAAAGGAAGAAAGAAGTGATCAGATTAGGGTTACTTAGGTAACAATATGAACTCCATCTAGAATGGAGAAAAGTAGCCTTCCTTTACTCATATGATATCACAAGTAATTTCTATCCAATTTGAAAGTATGCTTTGGTGTGGTTGTGACAGCTTCCTCAGGACTCAGCAGAAAGTCAAACAAATAATTGTCCTTAGAAGAGATAGAAATCTATCCATATTCTGTAGCTTTTTTTTTGAGATGAAGTTTTGCTCTTGTCACCCAGACTGGAGTGCAATGGCATGATCTTGGATCACTGCAACCTCTGCCTCCTGGGTTCAAGTGATCCTCCAGTCTCAGGCTCCCGAGTAGCTGAGAATATAAGTTACAGGCATGTGTCACTATGTCTGGTTAATTTTGTTTGATTTTTGTTGAGACAAAGTCTTTCTCTGTCATTCAGGCTGGAGTACAATGGCACAATCTTGGCCACAAACTTCTGCCCCCCAGGTTCAAGTGATTCTCCTGCCTCAGCCTCCTAAGCAGCTGAGATTACAAGTATATGCCAGTATGTTCAGCTACATTTTGTATTTTTAGTAGAAATGGGAGTCCTACCATGTTGGCCAGGCTGATCTCGAACTCCTGACCTCAGGTGATCCTTCTGCCTCAGCCTCTCCTGAAGTGCTGGGATTACACGCATGATCCAGGTTTCAGATTCACATTCCTTTAAGGCCCAAAGTAAATCACTTAAATTTTGAATTATTTCTTTTCATAGGACCTATTTGTCGGGGACAGTGAAGAGTCAGGAGGACTAATTTGTATACAGATAGTGGCCTAGAAGGGGTTATGCTCTGGCTTATTTCTGTGTCCATGAAGGTTTAGGGGACTATGATAAAGTGACTCGGAAGTCTAGGGAATTGGATGGACCAGGCTGTTGCCACAGATTTAGGTTCTAGGAACAGGGATAAGCCAAAAGTCCTCCAGGCTTTCTCACTTTCTTCTCAGAATAGGAGGACTGGATCTTAATATTAGCAGGCTAGTGCTGGTGATTGTACTTTTTCCTGTCCTAAAATTATATTACATGCTTTAACAAATGCAGCCACTTTCTATTGCTTCTAATTTGAACTTGACTTTTCATTTGTGTTAGTTTCAAACAAAGAATGTACATGAGAGTTAATTTTTTTACCTAACATAACCTCCCAGGTGAAACCAATAAGCTTTTTTTTTGGAGACAGTCTCCTTCTGTTGCCCAGGCTGGAGTGCAGTGGCAAAACCTGGCTCACTGCAACCTCCACCTCCTGAAACCAATAAGCTGTAACTAAGGTTATAAACCTAATCACCAATGTACAGGATATTTTCAAAAAGATGCAAGCAGTTTTTATAAAACATAGAATCTTCAAAGGTAGGTCAGGAAAAGGAATATCCAAGATGGTTCATGGAGGGGAAGAGAATCAACAAATGTTCATGCAGATATCAAATCAGAAAGGACTCATTTCCTAAGCCAGAAATTGAACCCTGAACCCAGGCTGCCCCTGTGAGACAGCGAAGCCCAGCTACTGAGCTACAACACTGAGCAGTCTCCACTGGAGTCTCCCAGAAGAAGCTGACAGCAGCCAATTTAGAGCTTGCAAAGGTTTCTAACTGCTCCAGATCATTTTTAGGGTTGACTATAACATAAACTTTAAAACTTCTGTATGCTGGATGGTAGAAACCAAGAGAAAAAATACTGCCATATGGCTAGAAGGTCAAACTCCCAAGAACATAACACGAGAGGGAAACTTCACCCATTTGTTTTGTTGTTGTTGTTTATTTCAGAAACTTCTTTTTTGTTTCTTTGTGGGTTTTCTTTTTTTGAGACAAAGTCTTGCTCTGTCTCCCAGGCTGGAGTGCAGATGCATGGGCTCGGCTCACTTCAACCTCTGTCTCCTGGGTTCAAGCAATTCTCCCTTTCTCAGTCTCCTGAGTAGCTGGGACTACAGGTGTCCACCCCCAAAACTGGCTAATATTTATTTGTATTTTTAGTAGAGATGAGGTTTTGCTATGTTGGCCAGGCTGGTTTTGAATTCCTGATGTCAGGTGATTTTCCCACCTCAGCTTCACAAAGTACTGGGATTACAAGCATGCACCACTGTGCTCAGCCTGTTTCAGAGACTTCTTAGCAGAAGTTTCAACATGTAGTCTCTGGGTAAGATGGTGGTCCAGATAACAGAAAATAAAGAAAAGGGAAAGAGAGAGGGAGAGAAAGAGAGGAATTGCCTGTGGCACAGCGGGAAAGATAAGGCACTCAAGAAAGCCAGAGAAAGACCCATGGATTGCACTGATTCAGAAGTTTAGGTGGCTGCTTGTTGGTTGTGAAAGAATCCTTCTTGTGGAATTCCAGTCAGCTCTCAAGTTTTCTACTCCTGGGAGGAAAAAGCTTCCCATGTTCCATTATCCTGTACTGACCTAATTCTGTCAGCCACAGCCATCAGCAAAAAGTTGAAAGCAGATCAATCCAAAGGCAGGGCTGGGCATGGTGGCTCATGCCTATAATCCCAACACTTTGGGAGACCTAGGTGGGTGGATCAGGAGTTCAGGACCAGTCTGGGCCGGGCGTGGTGGCTCAAGCCTGTAATCCCAGCACTTTGGGAGGCCAAGGCGAGTGGATCACAAGGTCAAGAGATCAAGACCATCCTGGTCAACATGGTGAAACCAAAATACAAAAAATTGTCTGGGCATGATGGTGCATGCCTGTAATCCCAGCTACTCAGGAGGCTGAGGCAGGAGAATTGCGTGAACCCAGGAGGCAGAGGTTGTGGTGAGCCAAGATCGTGCCATTGCACTCCAGCATGGGTAACGAGAGAAACTCCATCTCAAAAAAAACCAGTCTGGCCAACTTGGTAAAACTCTATTTCTACTTAAAATACAAAAATTAGCTGGGCACGGTGGCATGAACCTGCAATCCCAGCTACTTGGGAGGCTGAGGCAGGAGAATACCTTTAACCTGGGAAGCAACAGTTGCAATGAGAAAGATCTCGCCATTGCACTCTGGCCTGGACAACAAGAGCAAGGCTGTGTCTCAAAGCAAACAAACAAATACAAAGACAATAGTGGTTAACATTCCATAATGCCAAATGTAATCTTAGCTGAGAGAGACTACCTGAGAGGAGTCTCTAACCCCCTAAATCTTAGGAAAAACTAACCTTCCTAAGTTATACCTCAAACAAGTTTTGTCAAGTGTTTTTGCCTTTTATTAAAAGCAACCTTTTTTCTTATCCCCTATACCCAAGTATTCTACCACTTACATAGACAATCGGTGATTCAGTCTATTTCTTTTGGGTTGGGGGTTTCCTTAGTATCATCCCTTTGTGATTCACTGAAAAGAAGCTTCAAGAAATGGTTCCAATCTAGAACCAAAGAGTGGTTCTTGGATGTCATATAAGAAAGAATTTAGGGCCAGGAGTGGTGATTCATGCCTGTAACCCCAGTACTTTGGGAGGCAGAGGTGGGTGGAACACTTGAGGTCAGGGGTTCAAAACCAGCCTGGCCAACATGGCGACACCCCATCTCTATTAAAAATACAAAAATGAGGCAAGCATGGTGGTATGCACCTGTAATCCCAGCTACTCTGGAGGCTGAGACAGGAGAATCTATTGAACCCAGGAGGCAGAGGTTGCAGTTAGCTGAGATGGCACCGTTGCATTCCAGCCTAGGTGACAGAGCAGGACTCTGTTGAAAGAAAGAAAGAGACAGAAGGGAAAGAGAGAACGAATGAATGAATTGGGACAAGTCTGCAGTGCAAAGCAAAAGCAAATTTATTAGGAAAATAAAGAAATAAAAGAATAGCTACCCCATAGGCAGAAGAGCAGTGTGAGCTGCTCAATAAAGAATGCTTACATTTATTTCTTGAGTATATGCTAAACAAGGGGTGGATTATTCATGAGTTTTACAAGAAAGGTGTGGGCAACTTCCAGAAGTGAGTATTTCTCTTTTTAGACCATGTAACTTTCTGATGTTGCCAAGGCATTCGTTAACTGTCATGGCACTGGTGGGAATGTCTTTAGCATGTTAATGCATCATAATTAGCATGTGACGATCTGTGAGGACATTTAGAGATCACCTTCATTCCCATCTTGGTTTTGGTGGATTTTTGTGGCTTCTTTACTGCAAACTCTTTCATCAGCAAAGTCTTTGTGAACTATATCTTGTGCCAATCTCCTATTTATCCTGTGACTTAGAATGCCTAACCTCATCAAAATGCACTCCGTTAGTCTAAGCCCCATTTTACCCAGTATCTATTCCAGATGCGGTTGCTCTGGTTCAAACGCATCTGATGTGGCTGCAGAGTGCTAATGTGGCTTGTCTGAACTGCAGTGTGCTAGAAAATTAAAATACAAGGTTACACTCAAAGATTTAGCTTCAAAAATTTATATGCTTTATTAACCATTACATACTAATCACATACTAAAATAACAATATTTTGGATATATTGAGCTGATTAAATTGTTACAATCAATTCCACCTGTTTCTTTCATTTTTATTTTTAGACAGAGTTTCTCTGCCAACAGACTGGAGTGCAGTGGCACATTCTCAGCTCATTGGAACCTCCACCTACCAGATTCAAGCAGTTCTCCTGCCTCAGCCTCCTGAAAAGCTGGGACTACAGGTGTGTGCCCCCACACCTGGCTAATTTTTGTAGTTTTAGTTAGAGACAGCGTTTCACTGTATTCACCAGTCTGGTCTGAACTCCTGACCTCGTGATCCACCCGCCTGGGCCTTCCAAAGTGCTGGGATTACAGGTGTGAGCCACCACACTCGACTCAGAATTACAATATGAAATGAGATTTGGGAAGAGCCGCAGAGCCAAACCAAATCACTGCAAAGGATCTGTAACAAGAAAGGTCAAAAAATCAAAAATTTTAAAATAGTTGTCATTATGTTTTTTCAATTTATGAATAACTGTATTATAAATATATATATGATGTTATACACAAGATTAAAGGCAAATATTCTCTGTGGTTGGCCTGGTTCAGATCAGGGAAGAAACCCTCTGCCTGTAAAGCCTGCAGCCTAGGCTGTTAATTTTGCTTCATTCAGGCCAGTGTCTGATCAAATTTTTTGTCACTCAGGACCTGAAGGCTGCGTCCTGAAACCTTATCCAGTCAGGGGCAGTAAATTAGAAACTGTCCAATCAGGTGTGCAGCTGGAGAGAACAGGACGCTTCCATAATGTTGCGGGTCCTTTGTGTTTCTCCATATCCAGAGTTCCAGTTCTTCTCTTCACTGCTCTGCATCCTGTTCCTACAGGCCAAGCCTCTGTGGCCCTGTGTCCTGCAGGTATTCCCAGATTTATGGCTAAAAGACCGGGACCCCTTGGAAGCCGAGAAATGGTGAGTGCTGAGTCTGTCATGGTGAGAAAGGGGTGGTGGCTCGTTGGAACTGGCTGAAAGTGGCTGTAGCAGGACCCGAACTTACTCGCAGTCAGCTCTGAAGTCTGAGGATCCAAATCCTTATTGGCCCAGCTCGGCTCTTAGTCCCCTGGAGCTGTAAGATGCTGCCTGAGCCAGCAGCCGGGACCCTGGGAGTTCTGTCTTTTTCCTCTGCTGAGGCTTTACCCTGGGCTGGAGCCCTCTATGGGTAGCTCTGTGCTCCCAGCACCTCATCTCACCCAGATTGTGCAGGGATGGGAAAGTCATGGGGGGGGATCCTGACTCAAGGTGCAGGATTCATGAGTGGAAAAAGCTGTGGTAACTGGGGTCCCTAGTTCCTTATTTTTCCTTTTAGAAATGGATCGGAGTCACTGTAAAAATATTAAAGACTTTGATTAAAGTGTGATTAAAGAATCATAGAGCACCCAGCTATGGTTTATGGGTTGTGGTCCATGGGAGAGACTTGAAGAAAAGTCTGTTGTAAGTTGCATAATGAAGCAAACCAAATTCAACAATTGAATTGGTACAGTTATGTAGTTTCCTTTTGTGTAAGCTCCAGGTAAAAATTTATTGGTTATGTAATCAGATTAATTGGCATTTTGTGGTTGACCAGGCTTGATTTATTTCTTCAACATACATAGTAATTCCAAGAAATGCTTTTTTTTTTTTTGAGGTGTAGACTTGCTCTGTTGCCCAGGCTGGAGTGGAATGAATGGCATGTTCTCGGTTCACTGCAACCTTGGTCTCCTGGATTCAAGCGTTTCTCCCAACTCAGGTTCTGAAGTAGCTGGGATTACAGGCACCTGCCACCACACTCAAACATTTTTTGTATTTTAGTAGAGACGGGGTTTTACCATGTTGGCCAGGCTCATCTCGAACTCCTGGCCTCATGTGATCCACCTGCCTCCACCTCCCAAACTGCTGGGATTACAGGTGTGAGCCACCACTCCTTGGCCCTGTTATATTGATTTCTGAATTTTATGCTAAACTTTATGAGATAGGACTGGCCACCTTCTAGAAGAAGTTTGTTCATATTACTAATTGTTTACTAAATATCCTGTAGTGGAAATAAGTAAATGATATGTGTATTGTCTGAAAGAGATACTTTTGCTTTTCTTATTGAGCTATTTAAGCACCTTAAAATTTTTTTCCCTTGTATAAACACTTCATTCCAGTAATCTTTCTGGATTAACACTTACTTTCAAAAACTCAGTGACCATCTCTGACTTGGAAATTAAAGCCTAGCCCTGTGACTCCAAGCTAAGGCTAATATTGAGCCTGCAATAGGAGGTTATTGAAGGCCTTGTCAGTTCTTTCTAGGGAGCCTCCCCTGCAGATGTCCCAGCCTGCTCACCCCAGCCATGGAAGAAGCCTTTATACTGAGATAAGCTATAGAGCCCAGGATAGCTGGGGACCCATAGGCAGATGCAGTTAGGGTTAGAATGGGTGGGAATTGTTGCTGTTTGGGGGCAGTTTCTAGGCTTTGTGAAATAAAATGAAGTCAGATTATAGGTAAGATGTTCTGAATCCCAACAACAGAAAAAAAGTACCAAGTATAAGATTTTCTAGGATATCATCATTTAGGCAGACAAGGACTTTCTTTTATAGCATATAGCAAACAAGTTTAGAAAGAAGGTGGAATAAGAACAGCATATAGAAGGGGCAAAATTAGATTCTAGATCAGAAAATAAGAAAAAAGTGAAAATTTGCAGAGTCTATGTCTATGTGATAAGAAAATACACCATCTAAATAATCATGGGAAAAGTCTTTCTACTATGCTGTTGCTGAAGAACACAAAGGATGGATTATTTCATTTTATTTTATTTTAGAGACAGAGTCTCACTCTGTTGCCCAGGCTGGAGTGCAGGGGTGCAATCTCAGCTCACTTCAACCTCTACCTCCTGGGTTTAAGCAATTGTCCTGCCCTGGCCCCCCAAGGAGCTGGGATTATGGGCACCCACCTCTGCACCTGCCTAATTTTTTGTATTTTTAGTAGAGACAGGATATTGCCATGTTGGCCAGTTTAGTCTCAAACTTCTGACCTCAGGTGGTCCACCCTTCTTGGCCTCCCAAAGTGCTGGAATTACAGGCAAGATCCACTGTGCCTAGCTGGAGAATTTTAGTAGTCACAGCTATTTACCAGAATTACTTATGCCCCATCTTTCCCAAACTTTTTTTTTTTTTTTTGGTCTTATACTTTTGTTTTTCATTTGGCTGTTTCTGGGTTGCATGTTTTATAGTAAACTGGCTAACATAAGTACAGAATTTTGCTGAATTCTATGAGTATCTCTATCAAATTATTGAACTTGAGGGAAATTATGGGAGTCCCCAATTTACAGACAATAGCTCAGAAGCATAGATGGGTCCCTGGGATTTGTGACAAGCATGTGCAGTAAGTGTAATATGGTGAGACTGAACTCTGAATATGGTCTATGCTGACTCTGGGTGGTATCAGGACAAAAATCTCACACAAGTTGGTGCTAAAAAAAAATTTCTTCTTTCCAGTCCCGGCCAACATGGTGAAACCCTGTCTCTACTAAAAATACAAAAATTAGCTGAGTGTGGTGGTGTGAGCCTGTAATCTCAGCTACTCGGGAGGCTGAGGCAGGAGAATCACTTGAACCTGGGAGGTAGATGTTGCAGTGAACTGAGATTGAGCCACTGCACTACAGCTTGGGTGACAGAGTGAGACTCTGTCTCAAAAGAAAAAAAAAGAAACAGGAAAAAAAATTGCTTGGTGTTTAACAAACTTCACAGATTGGGTGTCAGAAAAATAGATGTTACAGAGCCTGGTCTGGAGGGGCCTCTGGGTGTTTGGTAAGGGGAGGCTCAGTTCTCCTGCACACAGGCTGTCACACTGCACATTGTCCTGTGACTCTAGGTCTCCTCTCAGGGGGAAAGGGGACTAAACACTTAAGGAAAAGGAATTGTGAAAACAGACTTCCTTCTTTCATAGCAGCCACCACATGATTCTCATGCATTCACAAGCACACCCACTAGACACTGATGTGTCTACACTCCTCCCAGGACTAGGCACCACCCTCAAGAATTCCACCACAGCACATTAGCTTTTGCATTTCTTGCCAAAATTCCACCAAAGTGCCTACAGTTTCCTGGCATATCCCGAGTCCCAACAATGAATCTGCAGTAGCAACCTGTTTCCTCCACCAGTGTAGGGTTCTGTACCACGTGATCATAGGCTAATCTGCCTGCATGGACACAGGAATAAATCAGAGTACCGCCCCACACAGACCACTATCTGCAGCACAAAGCAGTCCTACCACTTACCTTGAACTCTTTCCGACTGGTAAGTTTTTGTTTGTTTGTTTGTTTGTTTGTTTTGTTTTGTTTTATCGAGACCAAGTCTTGCTCTGTCACCCAGGCTGGAGTGCAGTGGCATGATCTGGCTCACTGCAACCTCCACCTCCCAAGTTCAAGTTATCCTTCTGCCTCAGTCTCCTGAGTCACTGAAATCAGACACGAGTGCCACCATGCCTGGCTAATTTTTGTATTTTTAGTAGAGAGGCATGGGCTTTCACCATGTTGGCCAGGCTGGTCCACAAACCCTGGCCTCAAGTGATCTGCCCACCTCAGCCTCCCAAAGTGCTGGGATTACAGGTATGAGCCACCATGCTTGGCCGAATTTTTTTTCTTTACCTTTTATTTTAGATTCATGGGTACATGTGCAGGTTTGTTAGATCCGTTTTTTGTGTACAGATTATTTTATCACTCAGGTACCCAACAGATTTTTTTTCTCATTTTCTTCATCCTCCGACCATCCACCCTCAACTGGGCCTCAGTGTCTGCTCTCTTATTGGTGTCCACGTGTTCTCATTGTTTTGCTCCCACTTATAAGTGACAACATACAGTATTTGATTTTCTGTTCCTGCACTAGTATTCTAAAAATAATCCCCCCATCTCCATCCACATTGCTGCAAATGACATGTCATTATTCTTTCTTGTAGCGGCATCGTATTTCATGGTGTACACATACCACATTTTCTTTATCCAGTCTACCATTGAAGACATACGGGTTTATTTCTTGTTTCTGCTATTAGAAAAGTGCTGTAAAACATGCGTACATATGTCTTTATGGCAGAATAACTTACATTCATTGGGTATATTCCCAGTTGTGGGATTGCTGAGTCAAATGATAATTCTGCTTTCAGGTTTTTGAAAAGTTGCCACACTGCTTTTCTCAATGGTTAAGCAAATTTATACTCTCACCAGCAGCTTATAAGCATTTCCATTTCTCCACAACCTCACAAACATCTATTTTTTCATTTTTTAGTTTGTGTTTATTTAAATTATTTCTTTTTTCTTCATTAGTCTACTGTTTTATCTATCTTACTAATGTTTTTATAGAATCAACTTTTGGGTTTGTGGAACTTTTTTTTTTTGAGATAGAGTTTCCCTCTTTTGCCCAGGTTGGAGTGGAGCTGCACAATCTCAGCTCACTGCAACCCCCACATTTCGATTTTAAGCAATTATCCTGCCTCAGCCTCCCGAGTAGCTGGGATTGCAGGTGCCTACCACCACACCTGTCCAAGTTTTGTATTTTTAGTAGAAATGGGGTTTCAACATGTTGGCAAGGCTGTTAAACTCCTGACCTTGTGATCCACCTGCCTCGGCCTCCCAAAGTGCTGGGATTACAGGCATGAGCCACTCACTGTGCCTGACCCATTTTTATAGATATTTATATCTCAGCCTTGTTCATTTCAGCTCTGATTTTGGTTATTTCTTGTATTTTTCTAGCTTTGAAGTTGGTTTGCTCTTTCAGAACTCTTTTATTGTTAACATTAAGTTTTACATTGTGATCTTTCTTTTTGATGTGGATGTTTAGTGTTACATATTTCATTCTTAAAAGTGCCCAGAGATTCTGGGCCCAGAGATTCTGGTATGTTGTATTTTGGCTCTAATTAGTTTCAAAAAAATTTTTTATTTCTGCTTCAATTTCCTTATTTACAAAATAGCCATTCAGAAGCTGATGATTCAATTTTTATGTAATTTTATCATTTTGGATATATTTCATATTGAAGTATTATTCTATACATTTCCTTTTTAAAATTAGTAATAGAGAAACAAAAGAAATGGAAATGCTGTGTGCTCTTAATCTAAATGCTAAAAATGATTCAACACTTAGTACCAATTTCCAGGATGCTATGAAAATTAAATCACATTGTGTGTTACTCCCAGCACAGTGTTCCGTGACATGCTTCTGAGCACATAGTACCTGCTCAGCAAACACTTTATTAGTACATGTGCACATGTTTCCCAAGTGCAGACTTACTCAGACATTGCTGCCTTCTGTTGTCTCTGTAAACTTAAAAAAGCCAACAAAAAATGTATTTCAGGATGTTGATTGGTTGTTGTCTTTATTTGTACCAGAAGTATTTGTATTGTGACAGTTGTGGTGGGTGTAAGGGACTCTTTTTATTTTTGAGATGGAGTCTCCCTCTGTTGTCCAGGCTGGAGTGCAGTGGCACCATCTCAACACACTTCAGCTTCTGCCTCCTGGCTTCAAGCAGTTCACCCACCTCAGCCTCCTGAGTAGCTGGGATTACAGTTGTGAGCCACTACACCTGGCCAGGGACTCTCCTGTGCCTGCTTTTTCTAACTAATGCTAATAATGTGCCTGGCAAAGCACAATCAGCTTTATCCTGGGGACTTTTTCCCAAGTGCAGACATACTCAGACATTGCTGCCTTCTGTTGTCTCTGGAAACTTAAAAGGCCAACAAAAATATATTTTAGGATGGAGATTTGTTGTCTTTATTTGTACCAGAAGTATTTGTATTGTGACATTTTCAGCAAGACAGGGGACTTATTGAAAAAGCCCATTCCTAGCCCTTTTTGGATCCTGCAGAATTACATTGTATAAAGCAGGGCCAAGATTACCAAGTGATTTATAAACTGGAGGGGTTTAAGATACAGTCAGGAGAGTTTAGTTCAACCTTTGCATCAAAGGAAGGCTGCACTGCCTGTCCTGTTTCAGTTTGGAAGGAAGAGATCAGTGTAGTTTATGCTCCCATTACTGTAAAAAAATAATTGCTGGTGTCTAATAGGAGAGGGCAGGGAAAAATAAACAGGAGTTCAAGACCAGCTTGGCCAACGTGGAGAAACCCCATTTTTACTAAAACTACAAGAATTAGCTAGGCATGGTGGCTCACACCTGTAGTCCAAGCTGCTCTGGAGGGTGAGGCAGGATAATTGCTTGAACCTGAAAGATGGAGGTTGCAGTGAGCCAAGATCATGCCACTGCACTCCAGCCTGGGTGACAGAATGAGACTCGGTCTCAAAAAAAAAAAAGACATGTCCATGTTGATGTACTTAATTTTATAATTTATCATCTAAAAAAGTATTATATCTACAGTGGTATTGTGGATCTTATGCTCTCCTCTTTTCTCAGAGTTACAGAATACTTATGTACTTATAAAAATTATCTTACTGAATAATTTTAGTCACTCTTATAAGTCAGAAGCACTTGTTTTTACTCTCTTTTTTAACTTCAATCAATAAAATTTCTGCCTATGGCCACTTGGTAAGTGTTTTTGCATTCCTGAGTGTTTTTTATTTCAGGAACTGTTGGCATTCAGAGATGTAGCCATAGAATTCTCTTTGGAAGAGTGGCAATACCTGGATTGTGCTCAGCAGAATTTATATAGAGATGTGATGTTAGAGAACTACAGAAACCTGGTCTCCCTGGGTGAGGATAGCTTCCATACACAATTCCTAATGTATTTCTTTTCTTTTCTAAGGTGTTTTTCGGTAATTTATGTTTGCATGAATGAATTTTAGATCTCCTATTTTAAGAAACTCTTGGAGATTCATTGGTGTAGAACAAATTCTTCAAGATGTTTTATCTTGACCTGAACTTTTCTCTTTCCTGCACTTATGCATCCTTTGTTTTAGGATAGTGGCAATTCCAAAACTATTGTGGCATAAAATGTCATTGCCCACACCTTAGAATTCAATTGCCACCATCAGTTTTTGATTCAGTAGTACTGAATAGTGAAATTAAGGACCTACATATTTAGAAAGTTCTGTTATGAATCAATATTAACTTTCTGGAATTTTCTATTAGATCCTCTTTACTAAGTATAATACTAGGTTGATAATTTAAAAAATTACTAAGATTTATGTTACCTTTTTTTCTTAATAAAACAAGTATTGCTGTCTCTAAGCCAGACTTGATCACCTACCTGGAGCAAAACAGAGCCCTGGAATATAAAGAGAAATGAGATGGTAGCCAAACACCCAGGTAAGTGAGAGTAAAAGAAGTAGATGACACAGATGAGAGACACAAAAGTCAAGGAGGAAGACAGGCCTTAAAATGTGTTTTGGGAGCTGTGCTTCAGTGGAAAGTGTTTCTGAGAAGCCCAAGTAATTATTTTCCTTTGCTCTCATATATGGACACCTGTCTCGTGGCTTTAAATTCTCTAAGGATTCTACTTTTGCTTCAGTAATCTTCCTTCAAGTTCAGAATGTGAGCCACAGTTTTCCTTATGGCTTATAAGAGAATGCACAAACTGCTTTGCCATTGCTTTTGGGGACACACAAATATATGCACATTTTTGAAAAACTATGTTACACCATTCTTAAAATTTTTTTGCATCATGTGTAAAATGTGTGAGAATAGTAGCTTCTGTTACATTGGTGGTTGTCCATTTTTCTGCATATGCCATTCTTTTTTCATTAACATAGCCTTGAAATATATTTTAAAGTTTTTACAAAATTTTTTTATTTTTAAATTTTTATCCATGTATTTATTTACTTGTTTAATTAAAGGTTGTGTTATCAGACTTGCTATGAAGGGATATGTAAACAGGATACCTCTCATGTCTTCATTTTAATATGTTGCATATTTTAGATATAGATTCATAAATTGAATTGCTGTATTATGCAATTTCATTTCTAATTATTTGAAGAACATTCGTGATATTTCTTTTAATGGCTGCATTGTTTTTCTCATCAACAACTTACATATGTTTCAGTTTCTTTATATAATCAACATAGTTGGTGTTTTTTAAAGAAACTACAGTGGCCATTCTAATCTATGTATGGTACTTTTGTATTTTGATTTTGTTTTTCATTTTTCTGTAATTATGTAATTATGTAATTTCTGTAATTATGTATTAAGAAGCACTTTTCAAATGCTTCTTCCCATTTGTATATCTTTTTTGTTAAAATTTAGTTTAATCATTTGGTCTATTTTTCTCTTTTTTTTTTTTTGAGATGGAGTTTTGCTCTTCTTGGCCAGGCTGGAGTGCAATGGTGCAGTCTCAGCTCATGGCAACCTCTGCCTCCTGGAGTCAAACTATTCTCCTGCCTCAGCCTCCTGAGTAGCTTGGATTACAGGGATGTGCCAACATACCCAGCTAATTTTGTATTTTCAGTAGAGATGGGGTTTTGCCATGTTGGCCAGACTGATCTCAAACTCCTAACCTCAGGTAATCTGAAGCCATCTCGGCTTCCCAAAGTTCTGGGATTACAGATGTGAGCCATCACGCCCAGCTCATTTGTCCATTTCTAAATCAACTAATTCAGTTTACTGTTACAACAGTATATTTTAAATTGGTTTAAAAAAGTGACTTCAGTGGCATAGAAAATTTGTCCTCATTATATTTAAATATATTTGTTTGTTTAGCTTCTTAATTTTTTTTACATTTTGTTGGTTCTTTTACCTCCACAATTTGTTTATTTTTATTGTCCCAAGCCTTTTGTTATCTTTATTTTTCTGATTTTATTTAGGTGTCTGGTTTTTTAATTTTTTTCATTGAACATAATACGGATTATCTTAAATTTTTAAAGGTAATATGTACATCTTTATTTTTATCATTGCAATTTTGTTTTTATTGAACAATGTTGTTCTAATATTTTGTATACATTGTAATCTTTGGTTGAGATTTAGACATTAACATAAAACTACTTTTCACAATCTTTGTAATGCAACTCTTTTCTGACATAGCCTAAAACAAATTGTCTTGGCTTAGACATTCTGGGAGTCTCTCAAGCATGTTCTCAGTATGTGTCTTGTGTGCAATTCTCTATTTACTTTTTTAGTTAAAAGACCTCTCCATGTTTCTTCTTTCCGGTCAGTAACTACTTTCTACACCTGTTTAATGTCCATGGTACTGCAGTCTTTCTGCTGTTGTAACATTCACTTTTGATCTCAAAAGACTTAAAGTTGTCATTTCAAAATATACCACCATTTCATTCAGCATGTTCTGTCCTGGAAGATAGAAAGGCCCCCATAAGCCAAAAGCAAAGATATAGTTGCCAGTATTTTTTTTTTTGTCTTTTGAGATAGAAGCCAGAAGTTGACAGTTTACTCCTAAAGACACTATGTTCTTCTGTTGGGGCTGAGAAAGGGCTGTGTTAGGAAATGTAGCAGACTTTTCTTTCTACATGGCTCTTGGCATTGTTCTTACCTGGTACACACACTTTATTTATAAATTTCCAACAAAGATATTTTGATCACTGTTTTTGTTACATTTATACATCTATAAAGAAATACAGCCTGTGGTATTTTAATATGCCATTTTGCTAATGTACCTGGTATAATTTTATGTATTTGATTTTTAAAGTATATTTATCTGAGTCTAGTAAGTGGAGTCAGTTGCAATTTTTATGTCTTTCAGTTATGTATACATATTTTACCCAAGACCTTCAGCCATATAAAGGCATAAAAGATTCACTCCAAAAAGTAATACCAAGAAGATACCGAAAAAGAAATACCATGAAGATATGTGGACATGAGAATTTACAATTTAAAAAATGCAATGAAAGTGTGGGTGAGTGTGAGATGCACAAAAGAAGTTATAATGAAGTTAACCAATGTTTGTCAACTACACATAACAAAATATTTCAGACTCATAAATGTGTCAAAATCTTTGGTAAATTTTCAAATTCCAATAGACATAAGACAAGACATACTGGAAGGAAACATTTCAAATCTAAAAACTATGGCCAGTCATTTTGCATGCTTTCACACCTAAATAAACATCAGATAATTCATACTAGAGAGAATGCCTACAAATGTGAGGAATGTGGCAAAGCTTTTAGCTGGTCCTCAGCCCTCACTAAACATAAAGGAATTCATACTGGAGAGAAAGACTACATATGTGAAGAATGTGGCAGAGCCTTTAACCCATCCTCAAACCTCGCTAACCACAAGAGAGTTCATACAGGAGAGAGACGCTACACATGTGAGGAATGTGGCAAAGCCTTTAGCCAGTCCTCAAACCTCATTAACCACAAGAGAGTTCATACTGGAGAGAGACCCTACACATGTGAAGAATGTGGCAAAGCTTTTAGCTTATCCTCAAACCTCACTTACCACAAGAGAATTCACACTGGAGAGAAACCCTACACATGTGAAGAATGTGGCAGAGCCTTTAGCCGCTCCACAACCTTTACTAACCACAAGAGAATTCATACTGGAGAGAGACCTTACACATGTGAAGAATGTGGCAAAGCTTTTAGCTTATCCTCAAACCTCACTTACCACAAGAGAATTCATACTGGAGAGAAACCCTACACATGTGAAGAATGTGGCAGAGCCTTTAGCCGCTCCACAACCTTTACTAACCACAAGAGAATTCATACTGGAGAGAGATCTTACACATGTGAAGAATGTGGCAAAACCTTTAACTGTTCCTCAACCCTTAAGAAATATAAGATGATTCATACTGGATGCAAAGCCTACAAATGTGAAGAATCTAGAAAAGCCTTTACCTTCTCCTCAATTCTTAATACTCATAAGAGGATTCATACTGAAAAACCCTATAAATGTGAAGAATGTCACAAAGCTTTTAAGTGGCCCGCAGATCTTGCTAACCATAAGATAACTCATACTGGAGAGAAACCCAGTGAATAATGTGGCAAAGTCCAACTCTCGGGCCTTATAATACATAAAATAATTTACACTGGAAAAAATCACTGCAAGTCTGGAGAATATGGGCAAGCCTTTAACCAGTTCCAAACCTTTATTGTGTATAAGAGAATTCAGCTTCGACAAAAATCATATAAAAAAAGGAACAAAGCCTTTAATCAGCTCTCAAACTTAAAGGAATCTAAGAGAATTTATTTTTTAAAAATTCTTTTAGATGGAGTCTCACTTTGTCACCCAGGCTGGGGTGGCACAATCTCAGCTCACTGCAACTTCTGTCTCATGGGTTAAAGCAATACTCCTGCCTCAGCCCCCTGAGTAGCTGGGATATCAGGCATGTACCACCACACTGGCTGATTTTTGCATTTGTAGTAGCCAAATACAAAAATTGTGGGAAAGAAATATGGCAAAACATCTAACTGGTTCTCCATCTGTATTAATTAAAAAATGTTTTACTGGAGAGAAATTACATACATAAAAAATGTGATAGACCATTTAAACACACCTCAAACTTTTGTAAAAAAGAGAAATTATATTCGGAGAAACTCTAGAAATGTGTCAAATATGGCAAGGCCTTTAAATGGTAGTCAAACATTATCATAGGTAAGATAATTTACACTGAAGAAAACTCCTATGAATATGAAGAATGTTGCAAAACTTTTAATAAATTGTCACACCTTATTGCACAGGAAAGCATTTATACTAGAGAAACATTGTACAAATGAAAGAATGTGAAAAGTCATCAATATCTGCTCACATCTTAATAGCAGGAAGTTTGTGCTGAATAAAAGCACTGTAGGCCAGGCGTGGTGGCTCACACCTGTAATCCTGGCACTTTGAGAGGTCAAGACAGGTTGATCACAAGGTCAGGAGTACAAGATCAGTCTGTTCAACATGGTAAAACCCCATCTCTACTAAAAATACAAAAATAAGTGGGTTGTGGTGGCATGCACCTGTAATCCCAGTTACCAGGGAGGCTGAGGCAGGAGCATTGCTTGAATTTGGCAGGTGGAGGTTGCAGCGAGCCAAGATTGAGCCACTACATTGTAGCCTGGGTGACAGAGTAAGACTCCATCTCAGGGGAAAAAAAAACATTAGAAATATAATTACTGTAAAATGAACTTTCAGAAAATGTAGGTCTTTAATAATTGTTTACTCTGAGGACAGACATTACAAACAGAGGATTGTAGTGTCTTTACTTGTATTACAGATTTTATTGTACATATTTTACATTAAAGGAAAACCCCAAAGAAGATTCTCAAACTTTGTCAAACATCAGGGAATTTATACTTGAGAGAAAGCTGAAAAATGTAAAAATCTAACGAATGTGAACAAATTGTAATTTGTTCAAAAACTACAGTTTAGAAAACACCTATTAATATATTTCTGCAGTTGCAGTGAATGGCGAAAATATATTTAATCAAAAATAAGTCTATATATACCTTTGAGGATTCACAGCAGAAAGAATGAAGACTCGGCAACTTCAGACATTACACTAAACCAGTGTTGAGGATAAAAAGGACCCAAAGCTAACACTATATATATATATTTTAAAGAGGCAGAATTTTTTGGAGATTTATAATATTCAAGTTATGTTTCTTTTTCTGTAAAATACAGATTTTCTAAAAAGCAAATAATATTGTAACTCAAGTTACTTAATGTTGATTCTTCCCATTGTTTATGTAAAAGTATTTGATTAATTGCATTAGAGATATGAGAGATTGTTTTCTATAGAAGACATGAACTTTTCTATAGAAGAATAAGGACATTAAGTTGTAAGATGCATAATGAAAACCTAAATGGAAGGGCTCTTTGTGGTTGACTTACAACATTGTTTTAGTGATGGATAAGGTGGGTGTTCAGAGTAGTAGTCTGAATTCTAGTGAAAGAAAAAACTTAATATTAGTAGTAAATTATTTTATCAATTGTACCTGTAGGTAATAAAATGCAATACATTTAAAGTTTTTTAAAGATTATGTGTGAATTCAATTTTTCATTAAACAAAGTTGTTTTTAATGTGTTAAAACTATTGCACTTTGAATGAACTGTTAATTTGCCATGAACTTTAATGTGTTCCATCTTACTTGAGGTTCTAAGTAAAAGATGGTAGCGATATACTGTTTGTTAATGTAGGGGAATGACATCTCTAGTAAGCTCTTTTTTTTGCCAATTTATTTATTTATTTATTTTTTTGAGACAGAGTTTCACTCTTGTTACCCAGGCTGGAGTGCAATGGCACTATCTCCGCTCACCACAACCTCCGCCTCCTGGGTTCAGGCAATTCTCCTGCCTCAGCCTCCTGAGTAGCTGGAATGACAGGCACGTGCCACCATGCCCAGCTAATTTTCTGTATTTTTAGTAGAGATGGGGTTTCACCATGTTGACCAGGATGGTCTCAATCTCTTGACCTCGTGATCCACCTGCCTCGGCCTCCCAAAGTGCTGAGATTACAGGCTTGAGCCACTGCGTCTGGCCACCAGTTTTTTGTTTGTTTTGAGATGGAGTCTTGCTCTGTTGCCCAGGCTGGAGTGCAGTGGCACGATCTTGGCTCACTGCAACGTCCACCTCCTGGGTCCAAGCGATTCTCCTACCTCAGCTTCCTAGGTAGCTGGGATTACAGGCATGTGCCATCATGCCCAGCTAAATTTTGTATTTTTAGTAGAAACAGGGTTTCACCATGCTGTCCAGGCTGATCTCAAACTCCTGACCTCAGGTGATTCACCCACCTCAGAGTCCCAAAGTGCTGGGATTACAGGAGTGAGCCACCAGGCCTGGCCTGCCAGTGTTTTTAAGTTGCAAATAATTTGAAGAATTTTGTTCCCATAGATCAAATTGTATTCTTTTTTAACTTATTTTTTTTGTGGGTAAATAGTGTACATACACACTTAGGGCATATATGAGATATTTTAACAGGTATACAATATTTAATCATCACAGCTGAGTAAATTCATCATCTTGGGCATGTACTTTTATATTACAAAGAATCCCATTATATACTTTTAGTTATTTGAATATGTGCAAGTGAATTATTAGCTATGGGGTCATTTTTATGGCCATAAAAATTACATGGGTTATAATTAGTATCCATACGTTTTTGAGTCTTGATTAAACATTTTTAAACATTTGTTTTATATATTTTTTGTACATGTGGCCTCTCTGCTGACAAAAACAAGACTTTTAGTTTTGATTTACAGAGTTACATATACAAATATATTACTCTAAAGATATACCAGCTGGGCACAGTCTCATGCCTTCACTCTCAGAGGTGAAGGTGGGTGAGTAATTTGAGGTCAGAATTTCAAAACCAGACTGGTCAACATGGTGAAACCCCCTCTCTACTAAAAATACAAAAAAAAAAAAAAAAACCAAGCAGCTGGGTGTGTTGGTGCATACCCGTAGTCTAAGCTACTCAGAAGGCTGAAGCAGGAGAATTCTTTGAATCCAGGAGGTGGAGGTTGCAGTGAGCAGAGATGGTGCCACTGGACTTCAGCCTTGGTGATAGAGTGAGACACTGTCTCAGAAAAAATATATATATAATATATGACAAGTATAAGAAAGTGATGGTGTTTGTAAGTTTATATGCATTAGAAACCTGGAAACCTCAGAGATTCAGATATATATATATATATATATATTATGTGCCTACCAAAAACAAAAATTAGCTGGGTATGGTAGTGCATGCTTGTAATCCCAGCTACTTGGAAGGCTGAGGCAGGAGAATCTCTTGAACGTGGGAGGCAGAGGTTGTGGAGAGCTGACCTTGCACCATTGCACTCCATCCCGGGCAACAAGAGCAAAACTCCGTCTCAAAGAAATAAAGGAAAAGGAAAAAAAAAAGCATGTAACAAAAACAAAAAAAATTTTTCAACAAAACTCAAGACAGCATGAAAAGTAAAACAAAGGTGCAAAAGTAATTGCAGTTTTTGCCATTAAAAGTATGGTAAAAATACTAAAGTGTAATACTAAATGGTCAGACAACAATTTGCAAAATGGCAGTAAGTTTTACCTATCAATAATTTTTAAAATATCAAATGGTTTATCTAATTAAAAACACATTGCTATGTTTTGAATATCCCCTTCAAAATTTATGTCGCAATTTAACTGCCACTGTAATAAAATTATAAAGTTTGACCTTTAAGAAGATATTAGGTCATGTGGGACCTACTCTTATGAATGAATTAATATTTCCAGAGTGGGTTACTTAGTGGGTCTATTAAAAAGTAAGCTCTGTGACACCAGGCGTGATGGCTCATGCTTGTAATACCAGCACTGGGAGGCTCAGATGGGCAGATCACGAGGTCAGGAGATGGAGTCCAGCCTGGCTAACACAGTGAAACCCTGTCTCAACTAAAAATACAAAGAATTAGCCTGGCATGGTGGCACGCACCTGTAGTCCCAGCTACTCTTAAGACTGAGGCAGGAGAATGGCTTGACCCTGGGAGGTGGAAGTTTCAGTGAGCTGAGATTGCACTATTGCACTCCAGGCTGGATGACAAAGCAAGACACCATCTCAGGAAAAAAAAAAAAAAACAGATTTCTGGTGTACGCCTTTTGTCATCCTCATCTTCCTGTCTTTGGTCATTTTGTGATGTGGAAATACGATGTCAATAACTGCTCTTGGACTTCACAATCTAAAATTGTGAGGTAAGTAAACTATTATTCATTATAAAATACCAACTCCAGGATATTCTGTTATTAAAGCAGAAACTGAAATAAAAGATTCACAAAATGTCTAAATAGATTTTTTTTAATTAACAGTATGCTTCACACAGGTGATTTATTTTAGATTTAAGGGTACACATAGGTTAATGGTTAAAAAATGTAAAAAACCCATACCAATAATAACTGAAAGCTTGTAAGAGTGGCTATATTTTTATCAGACAAAATAGACTTCCAGAAAAAAAAAATGTCCTGAGAGACAAACAAGATCACTCTGTAATAATAATAAGAGGATGATCTGTCAAAAGGGCATAACAATTAAAAAATATATGCACCTAACATTAGAGCACATAAATATATAAACATATATAAACAGAACTTCAGAAAAAAAACACATATGACTAATAGAAAACTTTATTCACTACTTAAAATGATAGATTATTCAGACAGAAAGCTGGAAAGAAAAAAATGTGTTTGCATAGCACTATAGAACAATTGCACCTACCAGACATATATAGAATATTTCATGTAACAGTAGGAGAATACACATTCTTATCAAGCACAAATGGAACATATTATCCATAATAGATCATATGTTGGGCCAAAAAAACAAATTTAAAAAGACTAAAATTACATAAACATTTTGTTTAGTTTTGAGACAGCCTCTCTCTCTGTTACCCAGGCTGGAGTGTGATGATGAGACCTCAGTTCACTTCAACCTCCACCTTCCAGGTTCAAGTGATTCTCCTGCCTCAGCCTCCCAAGTAGCTGAGATTTCAGGCATGCACCACCATGCCTGGACAGTTTTGTTTTTAGTAAAGATGAGGTTTCACCGTATTGGTGAAGCTGGTCTAAAACTCCTGACCTCAGGTGATCTACCTGTCTTGGCCTCCCAAAGTGCTGGGATTACAGACATGAGCCACCACACCCCACTGTTTCAACTTTTTAAATTATAATTTAATAAAACTAGAAATCAATATCCAAAGAAAAAATTGAAACTCACAAATATGTGGACAGTAAACAGTATGTTCCTGGACATCCAGTGGGTCAAAGAGAAAAAGCAAAGGGAAATCAGAAAGTATATTGAGAAAAAATAAAATAGAAACACTTGCATACAATAACTCCTGGAGTACAAAAAACACACAAAATGGTTCTAAAACAAAAGTCTGTAGTGCTATATTTCTATATTAAGAAAAAGGACAAGATGTTAAATAAAAAACATAACTTCAATTCCCAAAATACTTAACAGCTAAATAATCCCAATGTTTGCATAATAAAGAAAATAATAGACTGGATTCTGTGGTTCACGCCTGTAATCCCAGCACTTTGGGAGGCCGAGGTGGGAGGATCACCTGAGGTCAGGAGTTTGAGACCAGCCTAGCCAACATGGTGAAACCCTGTCTCTACTAAAGATACAAAAATTAGCCAGATGTGGTGGCAGGCACCTGTAATTTTAGCTACTCCAGAGGCTGAGGTAGAAGCATCACTTGAACCCAGGAGGCAAAAGTTGCGGTAAGCCAAGATCCCACCACTGCACTCCAGCCTGAGTGACAAAAGTGAAACTCCATCTCAAAAAAGAAAAAAGAGAAAGAAAAAAAAATTAAAGCAGAAATAAATTTCATAGATACTTAATAAACAAGCAGAAAAAGAATTTACATATAAAAGGTATCTAAACATTTTAAGAAAAAGAGGATGAGTAAATTCCCTATTTTATTTTTAAGTTGATTAAGTCTCTTATTTTTATTTTGTATTTATTCTTACAATAAGCAGGTCCGAATACTTTATTCTAAACTCATAGACATTTGATTTCCAGTAGGTTTGTATTTAGGCACCAGAGGTGTAGCCTTGGGATTGTGAAAGAGCATTTGTGGAAAAGAAAAAGGCAGAATAAAAGAACATGCTATAAAAAGCCTTGAGGGCTGGGTGTGGTGGCTCACTCCTGTAATACCAGCAGTTTGTGGAGGCCAAGGCAAGTGGATCACCTGAGGTCAAGTTTAAGACCAGCTTGGCCAACATGGTGAAACCCAGTCTCCACTAAATATACAAAAATTATCCAGGCATGGTGACATGAGCCTGTAAATCCAGCTACTTGGGATGCTGAGGCAAGAGAACCTCTTGAACCCGGGAGGCAGAGATTGCAGTAAGCCATGATCCTGCCACTGCACTCCAGCCTGGGTGACAAGAGTAAAACTTGGTCTCAGAAAAAAAAAAAGAAAAGAAACCTATGGGTAGGGAACAGTACACAGTTGGTGAAAAGACTGATTAGTGCTGCAGTTACTGATCCAGGCAAGCAGGGCAGCTATGATTTATAAATGTGTGCATTATAAGTCACAGGAGGGACAGAACCTAGGCTAGTGGAGAAAACAGGTCACTGGTGCAGATTCAAGATCTGGGCATAAAAGTAAGCCATGAGTCCTCTGGGAACTTATGTAGCCTATTGGAAGAAAACCCTAGAAGCACAAGTTCTCTCAGCACAATTTCTGAGGGTGAAGCCTTGTCATGGGAGGGGTGTAGCTATATCATTGCCCAGTGTGCATGTGTGTGAGTATGCAGAAATCACTTTATAGCAGTAGAGTGGGGGGTGGAATCTGCCCTCAAAATTCCTTTCCTTTTAGTTCTCAGCTCCCTCTGAACCCAGATGAGACCTGAAATCACAGGACCGTTCACAGTGCAACAGCATGTGTGCAGAAGAATAGTCTCCATTCCCCAAGAGACCCACAGTCTTCCTCCAGCCAAGGCTGCTGGGATGTCTTTATTCTCACACCAAATATACTGCATTTGCTGAACACCAGGCAACTCTTCACCAACTGGGTGTTCAGCAACTCAGTTCTCACAGAATCCAGAGTCACCATAGGCCCAACCACTACAGGCCTCAGTTCCTCAATACAGTGCCCACTGCACACACCAGTGACAAGCACCAGGGGCCCATCTCTACCTCTAAGCCACTATCTATAAATCATGAGCTTTTATAAACTTCTCCCTGCAGTTTAATAATTTGATGAAACTACTCACAGAACTTCACAAAACACTCTACCTATGTTAAACCAGGTAAACATCAAGAATACAATTCAGGAAATGTCAACTGGAAAAAAAAGTATAGGGCACAGAAAAGTAGGAAAAAAAAGAAGGGGTGGGTAGTGAGTTCCTGGTGAATAGCTACAATTAAGAAAAATCTCTAATGCTTTGTGTTCTGTAAGAACAGCTTACTGCAAAGAAATACCCTTACCATTATGACTTATTTTAGACAGTCCCTCCTTTAGATATCACAGCTTCTACATTCCCATTGTTCTTCAGAAATAAATTTGTCTTCAGCGTTCAGAAGAAAATACTTGTTAAGCAAACTTTGCTTAAGTTTCTCTCTTTCCCGCAGACCTCTGGACTCTGCTTCACATCCAGTCTGAGCAAACACACAACCCCTCTTCATGTCCCTCCCAAAAATAGGCAGACTTCGGGGTGCAACATTCTCGAATCTTGCATTGATTTTGTCACCCTCCATTCTTCTTCTCCTCTCCCAC